TGGGGTCAGAGATGGGAGCTCACTCCATCACTATCAGATTTAGGATTCCCCTAAAGGTGCACAAAGCTATTTGAACAAGACATGTTGATTTCATCAGGTGCTCACATGCAGCTTTCCAGCACATCCTAAAGCAATAATGGTATCATCATGTTATCAGTAACCAAACCTAATTACGAACTTGGCCCTAATATGGATCAAAAAGCCCAATGGTGCCAAGTGCAAAATGAGACTTTTTCTACAGACCTGGGAAGCCCCTAGGTTTGCATGAACAAAAGAGAAATTTTAGGAAGCCTGGGGGGAGAGGGAGGATTTAACTTTCCCTCAAACAGATAAGCCTGGGGTATGGGTTTTTTTAAAAAACTTTCCCTCAAATCGATAAGTGCTGTCTGCCTTTACACAGTCAATGCCAAGGAAAGAGACCTCATGTTCCTTCCTTCTCAAGCTGTGCCTCCACCTTCAACCCCAGGAGAGAAAGCAGTGGCAGTCAGGAGGAGCATATAGCAGTGGCTCTACTGCTGTTATCTCTTTCTTCCCCTTCCCGGAAGAGGTGGAGATGGAAGTAGCAGAGGTAGAGACCAGAAGGAGGAGGCAGCCATCCATGACAGCTCCCTTCCCTCTCCTGCAAGTTCCTCAGTAGAGGGACCAGGAAAGGAAAGATGTAGCAGGGAGGGCAGGTGAGCTATTCAGGGGAAGCACTGGAATTGCAAGCAAGCAGGCCTGCAAGCCTGGCAGGGAAGAAAGGAGATGGCAGTGAGAAGGGTGAGAGAGGTGCCGCCTCTCAGTCAGCCCAGAAAGAGGTGGCAGCAGGGGGCAGGAAGAGAGTGAAAGGGCTGGCGAGGAACTGGGGAAGCAAGATACACGGATAGCATCACCTAGGATAGCATCACCTTTCAAGCTAATAGTAGTAATTCCTGTCTTATGGTAAAACAAACATCACCAAGAGAACATCCAGATAAAAATAAGCAATGTTTTCCCTTATCATATACTGGGCATAGCCCAGCCAACAGTATACACTCCCTCAAAATGATATCCATAGGAAAAAGTTAAGCACATCCTTAATTCTTCCACACTGAAAATCAATCCCACTTAAACGCTTAGCTATGGCTGGATAGTATCCTTATTAACTTGTATTTCACTGATAACATTTAACGGTTTTCCCAATAGCAACTTAATCCATTTTCTCTTTCACATAACCTCACTGATAAATATCACCAATAGATGTTTAATTCAAGTTAGAGTTCTAGTCCTTACATTAATTTTGTTGTGTTGCCCAAACTCAGTTTTTACAAATTATGAAATTCTTATATCTTGAACAGAAATCCAAGCATGAGCTAAGATTTTCATCAGCTGGGACAGGAATGCTGGATCATAAACATTCATTTACTCCATTTATTTGCAATATTTAACATTTGCTACAGATTTACCCACTGCTTCATGTATTGCAGCAACAATACAACCAATATTTTTCCATTTAAAAAAATCCAAAGTATTTGTGGTGCTTGAATTTTAAATCACAGGCATCTAGTCCAATCACCCAAAATGTGTAGTGTTGAAAACATTTATAGGAATTGTTTTAACAAGCAGTTTTTGCTTATTCCACATCAACATATTACATATGTTTGGATTAGCTGTACACTGGTACATGAATCACGTCTGCAGTGATACAGTTCAAATGGCATTGGTACCTGTCCCTGGCACCTACAATTATAAGGACAGCAACTGTATTTTCTTGTTCAGCTGTATCCCACAATGAACCTCTCCTTTGTTTACTGTCAAACACCAGCACAGCAGAGTCAAATACAGCATGACAAGATACCTCACATTTTCTGAAGATGATGGGGCATAAAAACTTGAACAGCACTGAATGATATAAATCCAATTATGTTTTCAGCATATATTAATCTTTAGAGATTAGTTTACACTAACAGCAAGTTTGTGTATGGCCTTGCATATTTACAATTACCATTGCAGCCATGATGTTATCTCAAGCACGATGGACAGAAGCCCCCTCCCTTTCTAGATTTTTATGTAATCATTTGGGTTAATGGATAATAAAGTTCCTCAGGACATACAAGGAACTCATGTTTTTCTGGCATGGGACTGAAAAGGATCCTCCCAGTCTAGCAGAGAGGGGATAGAACTTTAAGAGGAGCAGGTTGGATTTTGCCTTTATGGCTTTTGCAGGGCAGAGAACCAACTTTAACCAGATGCTGGGAAATCAGTGAATTGATGTCTCAAGTACTTTTAATTGGTAAATACCTACTAGGGAATAGTTAGCACAGCACAGGAAAAAGCTCAGTTTGTGCATTGGTATCAACATGGCAAAGAGCAAGTCCAGTTAGTTGCTTGAAAAAATGGTACCATGATGGTACCAATCTGAACCACACACAGCTTCCATTTACCAATTAAAGTACTCAGAAGACTGAGTCATAGATCTCCCACCACCTTGTCTAGTTTGGCACCAATTTTGATACTGCTGTAGAACCGAATCTGTTTGTCTCTTCCCTCCTTTATCCCAAAATACCACCTCAATCTGCACATTTGTAAAACAGACTAAAACATTGCAGATCTTCTCATTGTAGATCTTCACTTCTAAAGAAATCTCATTCCATAAAGGCACCCCACTATCTGGGAAAAGGTTGAAAACAAATTTGGGACTCCTCATTTAAAGGAGGAGCCATCCTGAACCAGAAGGAAAGGCAGGGAATAAATATTTTAATAAATAAATAACCTGCCATATCCACATAGCACTAAGATATGGGATGGGGTTGTGACACAGTGGTAGAACATCTGCTTTGCATGCAGAATGTCTCAGATACAATCTCCAGCACCTTCCATTTAAAAGGATCAGGTAATAGGTGATGTGAGAGACCTCTGCCTGAGACCCTGAGAAGTCATTGCCCATCAGAGAAGACAGAACTGACCTTGGTAGACCAATGATCAGCTCAAGGGCCACACGTAAACAACCTGGCTACATGTTGACTTACTGTGCAGGGAGGGAGAATGAACAGAGGCACACTGGCTCCACCCCACCTCACTTCCATGCAATCGCACAAGGTGAACATGTGGAGGAAGTGCCAATGCATGCCCTCTTCCTTCAATCAGCAAGGTTTGGAAAGCAGCACTGCTAATCACAGGGAGGGGGTTATGTGCAGACACTTCCTCCATGTGTTTACACCATGCGAACATCTCTGTGATATGAGCAGACAGGGCCAGTGAGCTCATGCCCACTCTTCCTGTGTGGTGAGTCACTGTGTGTACAAGTTGTCTACACAGGGCTACCACATAAGGCTGCTTCATGTGTTCATCTGTAGCAAAATAATTCTTCGCTGAATACGGAAGCACATAAAAATTTACCTATGATAGCTTTCCCCAGATCGGTGTTCTTCAGAGGCAGAATAACATCTCTGAACATATAGGGTTCTTAATCGCCAAATAAATATCTCTCAGGTTTTTGCCCTCTGTGATTTCATCCTGCTACAGAGAGCCCTTGTGTGTTTTTCTTCTCTTAAAATACAATACATTTTCAGGACAACATTTTTGATTTATCAGAAGTAAGAATATAAAGTTGTCTGCTTATTCCTGGTACCAACATGTTAGCAGACTGCTACAATAGAGGTATACCACTCAACAGTCTACTTATGGCTATGATCCTGCTAGAATTATTCACACACTTAAAATTGGTCTTGAATCAAGAGTACTTAAAACATCATAAAAATGCTGAGTTTTGGATATATTGTGGATTCTTGCTGCATATCACGGCCAATCAACCTGAAAGGACAGACTCACACATAGAACACTGAATACATTGCATGGAGTAGCACAAAGCATAATACAAACTGACAAGTTCTTCAAGTGCTGGAATAAACACCAAGAGACCTAAATTTTTGGAGGGGAGTTGTTCTTTGTATTTTAAAATAAAAAGTGCAAATACTGCAGCTCATAGTAAGCATCCATTACTATTAGAATTCACATAACCTATGTAATTATGTTCCGAGGAGACCAATAATAGTTGGGAAATTCAAGTCCTAGAAATCTGTGACTTTTTCAGCAAAGACATGTTGAGCAACCAGGATTTTTTGTCTACAGTTAATTAAATTCCTCCCTGCAGGAAGCAGGGGATGGTGAGAAGGCAGGCGAATGAAGGGGTGGGGAAAAGTAGTTGTATAATGGCCATTAAGATGAACAATTAATATAAACATTTAAATTATGCCTGATCCATGTTGTTGTTTTTACAAATTCTGTTGAATCCCTTTCTTTGATGGAACACTGAGACTGTGCTGCCAATTTAGATCTCAGGGATGAATTCAGGCCCCAAACCTACTTGCTTGCAACCATAACTATCAAAGCACACTAGCTGTCCCCTCACAACAATCTCATACTACTGCCAGAGGACAACACGATTCATGAACAGCTTCATTTGGGAAATTTTTGCTGAAGCTAATGGAAGCTGTGCAAGTGTGGTCTTGCCAGCTTTTACCTGTTACAAAACAGTTTGCACTCAAGAGGCTCCTAACTAATTGTGCCAAATCCTTTTCATAACACTTATATAAGTAGACTACCGGAATACTTGTAGGAACTTTCCCTTAACTCTGGTTTTGTTTTCCCCCAAAACTATTTTTCCTATAACACACAATAGATAGTACTGATGGATCATTTATAGGCTTATATAACTCTTTTCTTCCCTATATATCACTTTTTGCCTACATATCCCCCTTCCTATTATTTTTTTTACCATACCCTGAAGGTATAACAGCCTATGACCTTATCTACAGGGCTGTTACCTTCTTCTCTCTCTTAAGGATGAATCCTTGCCAGTCTACAAAAACTAATTTTTCACCACTGTGTACAAGGTTAAAGTTACATTTCCCTTCTCCTGTCAACTACAGAATGTAGACACCTGACAGCAGGAGCCATTCTTGAGCATTGGAAAAGCATGAAGTGCTACTTGTGAACCAAGCCAACAGATAAAATATACTGAATAAATACCAGAAACTTACATAGTCATGAAAGGCTTTAGCTTCACTTGAGTGTTCACACGTTTCACGTCTTTCCGGAGCTGCACAATAGAGATCCCAAAAAACACTAAAAGTAAAAAAAGAAGAAGAGGAGATTGTGACTTGCATTTTACAAGTACTCTAAATACACGAATCCCACAGTACTCAAACTATCGCATTATATCTTATGATCACTGCAGCACTTATCTCCTCATCCTTTTTATCAGTATGTTGTGCAGCATCAGCACTGCAGCACATCACAGCTGGCACTGTACAAATATTTGGAATAGTGAAAGCTAAACTTACTTCTGCACATACTAAAGTTTACATGCAGACCTTGATTATATTAGTTCACTGTATGGAGAATAATCATATTTTCTTTGCTTAACTCAACAGCACAAGCAATCCAAAAGCTGATGAAGAATATCAGATTCTGAAAAGAAATCAAGCCTGCATGATCCATTTTAGTCACCCATTATTAATAAAAGCAAACATCCAAGACGTAGTGGCTGAATACTGCTTAGATGGACAGCGTGTGTCTAAACAGGTTCAGAAAGTGTCTGAAGTATTTTACAAATCAAACAGCTAAAATCCAAACCTCCTAGTTGTAGCACCTGTTCTCCCCTGCAAGTCTTGCAAAGGGGAGTAAACAGGAGAAGTAAGGAGGAGGGAACTGATGGAACAGAATAAATATTCATTTATTAAGAAAAAAATATTAAAGTAAGCAAATTAAAATTTTGAATTAAAGTCTCTTTTTAACATGCAGAAGACTATGTAAACGAAGCTGAGTTGTATGTATTTAATATAATTTATTCTTCATTCACCTGGAGATAATTTCCCTAAGTCTAAAAAGTGTTTGCATTTTTTTATGGTCAAGCAGTATAGACAAGGGGGCACACTAGTTTATGAACTACATATTTATTTCTATAGGCCTCCTACTGATGACACCGGTGTGTGGATGCAATCCTGGTCCAGTGAGTCTTACGAATCTTCTTCATAAGTTTAAGTTGACTGTTCTACTAGGATTTTTGCATGCTCCCCTGTGTTCATTAACAACATTCTGAACGTCTGACTGGAGATGCTCAAAGGTGCACTCTGCAGTAGTGTGCACTTCTCTCATTCATTTACACAGCAGTAACAGCCTTAAAGGGATGGGTGCACAAGATCTGCCCCTCAATTTAGCATAGACACTACTGTGTATATACACACCCTCTGCGGGTTAGAAACCCTGAGGACCAGATCAGTTCTTAAAATAGGCCACCTGAGTTGTTTATTCCATGTGAAACAATGGTATTACTAAGAAGCATGTAGGTGAGTAAACAAAGACTTGATCCATACAAAATGGAAGCACTAAGGTTTGGAAACAAGGCTTATGTAAGAACAAGTGCATGGCTTGTTCTAGGTGGGAGTCACTCCCCCTGAAGGAATGGGTCACAGTTTGGAGGTTCTCTTTGATGCCACACTGTACCTAGAAAGTCAAATTGCAGAAGTCATTAGGAATCTATTTTTTCAACTTCTCCAGCTGCAGCCATTCCTGCAGAAAGCAGGTCTAGCTATGGTCATGCATTTCTTGGAAACACAGAGATTATATTACTGCAGCACTTTCGACATGGCGCTGCCCTGGAAGACTGTTCAGAAGATTCGGCTAGCACCAAGGATAGCAGCTAGGGTCCCTACTGAATCCTTTCAAAGTGAACACATTAACATAAGTTCTTCTACAGCTACACTGGCTTCTGGTTTACATCTAGTCTCAGTTCAAGGTTGCTGGCATGGATCTTAGTACCCGAGAGGCTGCTTTCTCCTGTATCAACCTGTCTGGGCACTGAGACCAATGGATGAGGCCTTCCTGCCAGAGTCTGGATTACTTGAGGCAAGACTGGTCCACAGGAAGAAGAAGAGGAGGAGATTGGATTTATACCCCGCCCTTCACTACCGAAAGGTGTCTCAGAGCGGCTTACAAACTCCTTTCCCTCCCCCTCCCCACAACAGACACCCTGTGAGGTAGGTGGGGCTGAAAGAGCTCTTGACAGAAACTGCTCTTTTTCAAGAACAGCTCTTATCAGAACTACGGCTTGCCCAAGGCCATCCAGCCAGGTGCAAGTGGAGGAGTGGGGAATCAAACCCAGTTCTCCCAGATTAGAGTACGCACACTGGATGTTGATTAGCTGACTCCCCACCTGTGGAACTCCTCCCCCACAGGAGTTCAGGCTGATGTCCTTACTGCCGGCCCTCTAGAGAAAACCCAAGACATTTCTGCTCTGCACCGACTATTGGGTAACGCCTTGTTCTTGCTCCATGTATATATACATGGACAATTTTAGGATGGTATCACTTTCCTCTGGTTAGACTTCACTCGGAGTATCACGTTCAGTTTTGGGCATCACAGTTTAAGGAGGATGTTGACAATAGGGATGGGCATGAACCAGGTGACGAACTAAAGTCATGAATTTCGGCCTGTTCAGGTTTTGTGAAACAAAGTTCATAAACTGAAGAACTGAGAAGAACCACCACGAATTTTGGTGCAATTTGCAGTGGCTCATGAGAGTTCATGAAGAGCAGAAAGCCGGGGTTTGCTGAACTCCCCACCACTCAGCTGTTTTGTTTAAAAGGCTTGGAGCCATTTAAACCACCACTGCTTTCTGCTCCCTGTGGCTTTCCACTGGGAGCAGAAAAAAGTAGTTTAAATGGCCCTGCTTTCTGCTCCTCATGAAAAGATGCAGGGAGCAGAAAGGAAGGGGGAAAGTGCCTCCCAGGGGCATTTCACCCCCTCCTTTCTGCTGGCTACAGTGCCCTGTGGGCAATGTTCCCTCTAAGCTGTGGAGTCTTGTGAGCAGAAATGCTACTTTGTGAGCTGCTGGCATTAAAGTTGTGAGCAAACAATTTGGCTACTGCATAAATCAGTTTGCTCTGGAGCCCTCCTTCCTGAGCGAAAGCAAAAATGTGTGAGCTGGTGGCTAAAAAACTGAGCTAACTCACACTAACTCAGCTTAGAGGGAACACTGCTTGTGGGAGGCACTTCACTCCTTCCTTTTTGCTGGCCAGGGGGAGGCACTTCATCCCCATATTTAACCCTCTGATTTTTCTCCCCCTCCCTCAAAGCAGTGGGCAGCAAAAATGAAGGGTTAAATGGAAAGGAGACAACTGAGAGGTGATATGATAGCCATCTTTAAGTATTTGAAGGGTTGTCATATAGAGGAGTTGTTTTCCGTTTTCCCAGAAAGTTAGATCAATGGATCTAACCAATGGATTGAAATTAAATCAAAAATTGTTTTTGGCTAAACATTAGGAAGAACTTCCTAACAGTTAGGGCAGTTCCTCAATGGACCAGGCTTCCTCAGGAGGTGTTGGACCCTCTTTCTTTGGAGGTTTTTAAGCAGAGGCTAGATGGCCATCTGACAGCGATGCAAATTCTGTGAATTTAGGCAGCTCATGAGAGAGAGAGAGTGCAAGAAGGGATGAGCCAGTACCCTGTTCGCATGGCCCTTTCTTACATGCCCAGAGTAATGCTGATTACCACTATAAGATCAGGAAGGAATTTTCCTCCAGGCCGAATTGGCCAGGGATCCTGGAGACTGTTTGCCTTCCTCTTGGCCATGGGGAAGCAGAGGGGAAAGGTAGTTGTCCAACCCCCTGTACAATGCAGGAAATTCACTAGACGTCCCTTGAGGTCCCTTCCAATTCTATGTTTCTATGGTTGTTTTTATACTGATGTTTAATATTTGATTTTTTAAACTTTTTTGTCATCTCCATGGGGGGCCTCCAGAATGGGTTGAAAGGCAGCATATAAATATCAGACTTTATAACATATAGGTAGTTTTTCCATAGGGGTAAGGATCAAGTTTGTTTTTCCCTCCTTGTATATTACGGCCTTTCCACAGGACCTGTGGTAAACACCTATCTGCCAAATAAAGCTATCTTTTGTATATATCTTTCTAAGTCTCTTAGATAAGGGTGGAAATACACCATGTTTTGAAAACCTTTCCCCCCCCCCAAACAGAAGCCAAGAAGAATAATTGAAAAGCATATAACTATTTTATATGTTTTCTTTACTACACAACTAGCTTGTTTTGTTCTCCTTTGAATGCTGTTTACAGCTAAAAAAAAATTCCCAGGAGACACCACATATATTTCAGTCATTTCTGTACAAAGTTAATCTGATGTTTGTCAGGCTTAATACTTTAATGAAAATTGAAAGCAAATACTTACCACCACCAAGAATGTAAGAATCCTGGGGGTTCGCCCAATGTGATGTTCTTTTCCCATCTTATCTAAAACCATAAAAAGTGATAAAACTTTTTTTCATTTAACAAAGGGACATAAATAAAAAAGCACACTCCCACCCATCTCCCCATACTATCCACTGATTTTTCTCCATCCCTTTTGCAGCGATTGCTCTTAAGATTGTAAAAAATCATAAGGATGTAAGAGGTCCTCCACTACTTTAATCCAAAGGCTCATCCAGCCCAGCAGGCCACTATTAACAGTGACCAGGCACATTCTTCTGGGAACCTTACAAGCAGATTCTGAAGCTAACAGTCCTTCCCCATTTGGCATCAGCATCTGAGACAAAGTGGTATAGTGGACTTCAGAAGTGCCACACAGTCAGTTCCGCAAGGCCTGTAAGACAGAGCTGTTTCGCCAAGCCTATGGTTGAAGACAGCGATGGGTTCCATCTTTGATTGGCCTCCCCTTTCTCCTCTCTCCCTTTACCCCCCCCCCTTAGGATTAGACTCTACACACCACTCTCCCTTGAGTTTTATGCCATCTTTTATTATACTGTTAGTTCATGACATAATGTATTTTATCATATACTAGGAAAAAGGTCCGTTGTGGAAATAAATACAACGGCCTCTAGAAAGAGGCTCTGGGCGTGTGCCCCGGCCTTGGACACTCAGTGTCCATTTGCTGTGGTGACCTCAGCTTCAGCTTTCCACCCCCCCACACACACCTGCAGCCTCTCCCGTGCTCTGAAGCCCTGACTGCTACATCACATTGGCTGTCATACGGGGGCCACCTCAGCAGCATATAAGGATACAGAGCCCACCATTTTCTCCAGGGGAACTGATCTCTGCCATCTGGAAAGCAGTTGTAATTCTGAGGGATCTCCAGCCCTCACCTGAAGATTGGACACATTTTACCTCAGAACAGAAAACTGTTTAGAATGTTAGAGGCAAAAGCCAATCAAGTCGCATATGCAAACGACCTCTGTGTTCTGAGGCAAAGGCCAATGAGGCTGCATATGCAAATAACCTCTGTGTTCTGACTGGCTATGGGGGGGGGGAGGAACAGCAAAATGTTTAGAATGTTGGAGGCAGGACTCAGGCAAAGCAGCCAGTGGATACGGAGACCCTCTGAATGACAGATCAGAGAGCAATCTGATTTTGGAGCGTGTGGAATGTTCTAGAGAAGTGCCACCACCATTCGGCTTTTATTTATAAGGAAGATTATTAGGTCTTTTATTGTATTCATGTATTAGAATGTTTTTAATCATGATGTTACCCTGATGTTATCATGAGCCTGGACACAGGGAGAGCGGGATACAAATCCAATAAAATAAATAAATAAATAATGATACCTGCTAGCTTTTGACCAACCTGTTCCCCTATAATTTGTCTATACTCTTTTAGACACCATATAAACTAATGGCAATTAGCATGCTTATAATTGCCAATTCCACAACTTAATCTTGAATTGCAGATTAAATTCTACCTCCCACCATCCAAATTAATCATCTTGGCCAAAAGTGAAGACTACACTACTGTTCTGGCTACACAGAACATCCTTTTCACTGAAGCAACAGTTAATGAAATTTAGGAGTGGCTTTCCCTTTAAAAGTCAACATAATTTTTATTATTTTTATTTATGTAGTATCAAAAATGTGGCCAGCACTTTACAGGGTGAAAGTAGATACAATCCTTTCCAAGGAACTTACAAATTTACAAGCTAAAATTAGGCATAAGAGACACAACAAAGGTAACCAGAGAGGGTAAAAGAACACATAAACATGGGGAAAATATGCTTTATCCTAGTAACATGTATTTAGGCTTAGTTTAATCAGGGAAGAGCACTAACTAAGAGAGTGTGCTAAAGATAGGATTCTAAGAGTTGGAAGATGTGAGAGCAGTGACATCACACATGCATTCTGGGAGGTAAGTCCACAAATAAAAGGGAAACATGGAGAAAGGACAGAGTAGGAGACTTTTCGATGCCCAAGTTGAAGAGAAAACCAAGGCTTCAAGCTCATTCTACAGAATGGATGTTGACACTGTCAATGGAAAAAGAGGGCATATGGGAAGAGGAAGTCTTGAGAGAAGATCAGTGATTCTGGTTGTAAAATCCACAGAAAAGTGACATTGACAGTAATTAGTTGAATTCAGTGCTGATAAATGGCTTTTAGCCTGTCGCTTCTGCAATACTGATATTTGGACATATTCACCTTAGTTTCTCCTACTCCAAATTAAAAGTAATATAATGTGAGAAGTTCACATTAGACAATATATTATTTGTTATAATAAAAGTTCTACATGTGGGGAGGGTAGAGATGGACGGAAAATTACATAGACACACCTATCCCCCAAAAGAACTGTGTACCTACTCGATTTGTTGGCAGGGATGTTAATGCTAGGAATTAGGGTTGCTATCCAGGGAATATATTCAATGATACTGAAAAAACAGAGACCAAATCAACAGGATTGCTACATTTTTGACACAGCTATTTGTTATCAATCCTGCAAAAACTATGTTACTTTGGATGGGGGGGGGGGGAATCTAATTTAATCTGATTATCAACTACCAGAATTCTTTCAATTTTGCTTCAGTTAGGCTTGAAAACAAACCTTCAGCTAGTCATCTGTGGTGAGGAAATGTTGCTTCCAGGTAATCATTTTGTTCTATGTGTATCTGTTATATATAAATTTCATCAATTCATAAACTCAAAGTGATTAATAAGAAAGCATTCTAAGCACATCTCCAATTACAAAGCTTCAAAGTATAACTAATCAATATTCCTAGTTACAAAACTTCGAAGCATAATCCAGCAATTCCTCAATATACAGTACACTTGTGCACTTAGTATACACTGTCCATAAGTATAATCCTCTGAAGTCAGACAACGGTCCCTCTGGAACAAAACAGTCCATAAATTTCTCGTGGTCTGTGGTTTTTTCCTTCTCCTCTAGAATAAAACAGTCCACTAAATTTCTCATGCTCTGTGCTATTTTCATCCAATGAGGTCCCGGTAATTTCTCTCGTTTCGTGTAATCTCTTCTTCCAGGAAATTAATCCGTGACTTTCACAAAACAGACTTCTCCCGGCATCGGAGGACACCAATCACATATATTCTTTATTATGATTTGTCCGTACATTCAAACATTTGGTGCTTTTAAGTTTTGTAATTGGGGATATTGACTGATTATACTTTGAAGCTTTGTAATTGCAAATCTGTTTAGAATATTTTCTTGTTAATCACTTTGAGTTTATGAACTGATGACATTTATATACAACAGATATACATAGAACAAAACAGACAGCAAAGTCCATATAAATTGTGATTGACAATAGCTGAACTATAGTCATAGTCTACAAGGCTGGTTTAAATCTTTTGCATCAGGTGTAGTACTGTTTATTTAAAGTTGTTGAAGAGATAAAGGCAATAGGAAACATACCTCTGATAAGAATGTCTGAGCGGATTTCTGTGCTCCTACATGGAGCAGATATTCATATACATACAGTGCTAACCTGGAAATAGAAAAAAAGAGAGAAAAATTGACTTGCAAAGTTCAAGGTCCAAAATTCATAGACTGAGATATGTATTATCAAAGAAAGGAGACGTACTAGAAAAGCAAACTCAGTTTCATCTATTGTACTAACATCTTCCAGTTGTGTATGTGGGGAAAATCATAGGCATATATCTGGGGGAAATCACAGGCAAAGCTAGAATGCTATTATGCAAAACTCAGTCTGTCAATATTTTATTATCTTGGGCACAGGCCCAGTTAGCTCATAACTGTTCAGCTTCTATTAATCTATATTTATCCACACAAAGCTATGCTTACAGTAAACAATACAACATAGTTATAATTATAGAAGTACTGAGCATTTTCTCAACAAAAGCACTAAACAAGAAACCTTCTGAATTCTTCATTTCCTTAACTCCATGTTTCCATTCATCACAGGAGCTACAGAAAGTTCATATAAATTGTGAACAACCAAACCCTGCACCAGTTGTGATGAGACCAAGGATTTATCATGGGAACAGTCAAGAGGGCCATTTAGCCCAGGGCCTCACATTACATTTAGGCTCTTCACATCATCTTCAAATGAGGTTATACATACAGTCAGAGATACACTGACAAGATTGAAAGAAGAAAATGTTTAACATACAATTTTAAACTTGTGTCCCTTTACTGGGCCATGCTGTTTATAGTGCCCACTATGAATTTATATCTTCCTCCGTCAGCTGTAGCGACACCAGAAGCTGGACTGAGTCTGGCAGAAGTGGTTCGGGCCTTTCTCAACCTCTGAGGGACCCTAATGAAACCATTTCTAAACAAAATTGTCTTACTAATAAAATAAGTTGGTTGTGCCAGAATAAAAAAAGTGGACAGGACAAAGAGAATACTATACGACTACTTCTACTACTACTAATAATAAAGCATCAAACAGAAGTCTTCACTCTGACCTTGTGGGTTCCACTGATTTCAGAAGGATTTATGTCTTAGTATGCCCACTTAGGTAAATAAAAGGTAAAAGTTTCCCTTGCTCGAAAGCTAGTCGAATCCAACTCTAGGGGGCGGTGCTCATCTCTGTTTCCAAGCCGAAGAGCCAGTTTCCGTGGTCATGTGGCCGGCATAACTAAACGCCAAGGTGTACAGAATGCTGTTACCTTCCCACTGAAGTGGTACCTATTTATTTACTTGCAATTTTTTGCTTTCGAGCTGCTAGGTTGGCAGGACCTGGGGCCAGAGATGAGAGCTCACTCCATCACACGGCACTAGGGTCTTGAACTGCTGAACTATAGACCTTCCAGTCTGCAGCTCAGCGTCTTAACCTCTGAGCCATTGCGGTCCATACCATTCATTAAAATTCTAATTTACAACTTGGTTTGTTTTTGAATTTAATCTGTATATACTGCTAAAGTGAATCAATACTGGAAAATGTAATTTTGTCTGAACAATAGTGAAAGGTTTTTCTTATCTGTCTTACAGACATAGGCATGTGGGCGGTCTTACCATATTTTTCCCCTGAGGACTTCATGCATCTTTAGCAGCAGCAAGATAAACAGAAATTCAAGAAGTGAAATTCAACAAGAGACTGCTGAACTGCAATTGATAATAAAGCTCTCAAGACAATGCATCCTCCTGGATTGAATGGAGACCTAGGTTTTCTGTCTCATTACCAATGCTGATTTCTCCACGCCTATTACCCCTCTGCATATCTCACCTAAATCCATCACTACTCCTGCTATTGTCATTCACCTGCTATTGTCATTTGCTTGCTAATGTCATTAGGCATCTGAAACCACTCCACTTTCCAATAAACAGAACAGATGGACTCCCATTCTAGCTGTATCTGAAGAAGTGAGCAGTGACTCATGAAAGCTCATACCCTGCCACATATTTTGTTAGTCTTTAAGGTGCTATTGGACTCTTGCTCTTTTCACCAAGTGAAGTTTTGCTAGCATCGTAGCTACCAAATGAGCCCTGTCAGAACAAAACACCACTTCTCAATTGCTGCAGAAATTAAGTTGTGAATCCACAAACTGAACGGAGGATTTCATTATGAGGAGAAACAAAGGGGTGTCTGATGGCACTAGTTTTACAGATTCTTTTTGGTTTTGCTGCAGCAAGCTAACATGGCTATCCCACCCGAATTCTGAGTAGAGGTTGGTTATATAGAAACAAAACACTACAAAAACAGCAGCTCTCGATACAAAAAGGTATATCGATCGATCCTAGTTCACTGGGAAACACTAAATGACCAACTGAAGAAGTGTGCAGTCATCACGACAAGAGAGGGACTGAGATCAGAGAAGTTTCAATGTTCCACATTTTAAAGTTACAAGCAGTAATGTGGGTTTCCCAGAAAAATTATGTAACACTCTTAAGTATAGTATGACCTGATTAATATGTTTATTTTACCTTCTACTTGGTAAACAAATTTTAAAAGCAAAGTTTTAATAAAAAATTAAGCAACATATATGAGCTAGATTTTAGTTCAATAGTACCTTTGAGATAAACGAGATATTTGGGGTAAAAGCTTTGCCAGGTGCTACCTTTCTGTCAGCAGGGAGATCGATGGGCCTTTCCTGGAGCTTCTGCCCCGCGTGCAAGTATGCACGGCGCAATGATGGCACCCATAAGTGACATCATTGTGTCGCCGACACCAAATGGTGGCACTCTAGTTTTTGGCAAAGTTCTATGGTTTGAGCTTGATTTTACCATAGAGTTTTGCCCAAAAACTAGAGTGGCACTGTGCGATATCACAGCATGCTGCATGTAGGGGCATTTGCAGGTAGGGTTCCCCCCCACTGGCCAACTGGCTGGTGGTGGGGAGGAGGGGGAACCCCTGAACGGACCAGAGGTCTGGCAACCCTACAAAGCTCTCTTTGTCAGATATAATATGTGGATAACTGACATAATGTAATGCAATACAAGTTCACCACAGACAGCAAACCACATCAGGATCTATTTCATCTTAAGCATTTCTGCAGTGAGTTCTTTGCACAGATTAGCATTTTCTTAAGTCAAGTGTGATAGGCATGTTCTCTCAACCATTCCACCTTTCATGCTTTCCAGTCAATTAATTTCATTTATGAAACTGCAGACTTTCCATCTAGTGGCAAGAGAACAGCTGGTTGATTCAATTGTTCAAGACACGGAACCAGTTTTTCTGGCCAAGCAACTACTGGAATCTTGCTAAGTTTGTGCGTTTGTTCCTTCCTGCCTACTGCAGCTTTTCATTTTGTTCTCACACTGAAAGAAGTCTTCATATAGTTTTTCAGATGGAAGAAAGTTCAGGCATTCAAGTCTGGTATTCACCTACCTGAGAATACTATAAGAAAATACCTATATATATAGTCTGTCTGATTTTGTAGCGTGAAAAGATTAGAGGTTTCACAGAAGATGGTTGTTTAGAACTACTAAGTGAAATCCAGAAAGAGTGACATAAACATCTATGGCTGTAGATGCTGCTGCCAAGCCCAGGTTGTCTGGTAATGAATATGACTCTCATGTTCAAGCCCATATTGGAAAAGGCAGCAAAAACGCTCTAGCAAGGACATGGAATAAAGCACTTCAATTTTGTGTAGTGCGGTATAACTTGGTACAGCGGTTAAAGTGTTGGATAAGGATCTTTGATATCCACATTAAAATCCCCACTATGCAAAATGAGCTTGCCGGGTGACCCTGGGCAAGTCACACACACTGTTTAGCCTACCTGACAGGGTTGTTGGGACAGAAATGGAAGAGGGGAGACTAATGTATGCTCCTTGGAGAATAGGTGGGATAAAATAAATAGGAAAATTAAGAGACAACAACAAAACTGCTACAAAAGGGGGACAACAAATATTGAAGGTCTCTTCATTAAGTTTTTCAAAGTGGTGTGCCATCTTCAGAGAATTTGAATATCAGAATGTACCAGTCAGCAGACCCACGTAACAGCCCACAACATACTTTCAGTCGTCCCCAAAACCATGACAAGGCTGAGAGGAAAATAATAGAGGCCTTTTACAGAACAAGCAATAATGAGCACTGAACAGGCATTGAATCTCTGCATTGCAACAACAGAAACAAATATGGAGTACATCATAAAATCTTTTGATATGGTAAAGTCATCATTAGATTATTTTTATTTAGTTAATTTTAGGTGGCAATTATTTCTTAGAAAAGTGTGTGATGTTTATTTTGTGTATCCAAAGATAGGTTCAAGTGACTTTGTTCATTATAAAAGTAGTTTTTCAAATTATGAACTCTGTAGAAATAAGTTGCTTAATTAATGGAGGTGTTATGGGAATTATCCAATTATTGGCTACTAAATGAATATGCATTATTTATCTCCAAGTTTCCTGCAAAAGCCTGATTGCCACTTGCAAAGAACTGCAGTCATCACTGCTAAACTGAAGCCATGTCTCTCGGTCAATTTTTGGTTTGTTCATACAATCAGTGGGTGTTGGAATTGTCACTGCATTTTTTTTGTTTGTCAGAGCACGTATCTCCACTTGGTTCAATAGCTTGGCTTTCATTGCCCATTACAGCCAGTTCTTTTGCCAGACCAAGTCCTCATCTACACACACTTTTGAATGTGGATTCCAGGATACTTTGTATAGTAGAGGACGGCCTCTATAAATTCAGAAGCCACTCAGAATACTGGAAAGGTATACGAAAGGGAAAAGAATGACCTTTCTTGCTGATTTGCTTCCTTACCTCTCCCTATCTTCCTCCCTCCTAGTCCCAAAGGCATTCAGAGAGAGGGTAGTATATCTTGTCATGCCTATGCAACGTTAGTGGAAAGGAGAGAAAGCACACATAATCAATGCACAAGAAATAAAAAGAAGAAAATGACATCTATTTGCCTGGGCAGGACTCCAGGGAATGGCACAAGAATGACCTACATTTATTCAGAACCAGTAGTTAACTATTAGCAGCAACACAGAAGTTCAGTGACTTAAAACGGTTTTACTTAAAACTGAATAGCAAGTTCATTTTGGGAATGCCATTCTAGTGTATGCAGTCCTCCCT